AATACCCATACCTAGCTGCTCCCTGCCTGCCTTACTCAAAACTGATTGACATCCAGGGCTTATCTATAAAAACGCGTTAGCTTGATTATCCAATAGCTAACCAATCTAATGCTTCTATATGACAAGCATTTGATAGGATACTGCCCAGCACAAAGTTTATGCTGGGTCTGGACTCCCTGTTAGGTGCACCCCACTGCATGCTGTTACCTGAGCACAGAGCCTATCCAAGTTCCAGTGGTATTTCCCTCATGTAACCAGCTAGTTGTCTAAGCAAATCTAGCCAGGTTTAACCTAGGCAGTCACTCTTGAAATGTCAGTCTAGCCTGCCTTTCATGTTTTTTTTCCAGTTTGTGCTACGCATATTCAGCCAGATTCTCTGTTCTTATTTTATAACCTATGTTTGTCTCGTACTCTTGGCGATTCTGAGTGGCTAGCAGGTCCAGTAGTATTCATGGTTTACTTTGCGTTAATCATACTTTGATAACTATATAACCCTGCCATATGCATTGGATTGAATACATAGCAAGTTATAACTCAGAATTAGACGTGCATACGTCTGTTCTTATCACTTGATCTTTTCCGTAATAACTAAACATCACTATGACTAACTTACCTGTCTCATATCTGAATTGCCTGATACTCATGTTAATTTTCATTTTACTTTCAAAATTGTGCACAATAACATTTACTAAAAAAAAAAAAAAAAACGTTTATGCTGGGCAGCAGGGGAGAATCAGTTTAGCTGCAGAAGCTACTATTTTATCTAAAATCTAAAAATTTACATTTGAATTACCGATACAAGATTAAGGTATATTCCAAGTGGCAAAGCTAAGTACAATTTGTTATTGTATATTGCATTACTTTTGTAATATAAATAGAGGGGTTGGGGGCTGCACTATTGGATAGTACACCAGAAATCAATAAATATAAAACATATATATACACAAGTACTAAAAACTGATGGTTGTGATTCAAATTATAATATATGTAGAAATAATGTTCGTACAAATTTTTTCAATAAAAATCAATTGATAAAAAGTAGAAAATTTCCAAATGGAATAAAATAAAATAAAAGCAGTCTCACTGATATCGGGTATGATTACAGTCCTCGGGGATAATTCCGTCCAGGTTGGAAATAGTCCATTTATGTGGAGATAAGGAACACAAAGAAAACTGCCAATTGTGAAGTATTATAGATCCAAGGATAAAAAGTTAAATCAGAATCAGGATTTTGAACTCACATTTAATGGAGCTACGGCCAGCTCTGAGATGAAGGGCACTTAGTGGTATAATCCCCACTTCAGGATATACTTGGATAGTAGTTCCGTCGAATCCCACAGGGTATAGGAAACAGCAAATAGTGCTCTCAGTAGGAACAATTTGAAATAAAATGAAATAAATAAAATTATACTCACAAAAATAGAGCAGGAAATACTGCTCTATTATCACAGCACTGGTGGAATAATCCCCACCTATGGATTGCTTGGTTGTAGCTTGGACCGGCTCTTATGTGAGAGGTGCTTGGTGGAATACTCCCCACTTGTGGGTATACTGGAGAGGTAGGTCCGTCTGTTAGGCTGAGTTCCGTCGTGTTCCACAGAATATATGAAACAGTAATAGTGCTCTCAGTAAGAACAAATAAAATAAATAAAATAAAATAAGATACGCTCACAAAAATAGAGCAGATTGGTACTGCTCTATTGCCACAGCGCTGGTGGAATTATCCCCACCTAAGGATTTCTTTAAGACGGGATACAATAAAAAGTAGAAAAAAATATATAAAAAAAGGTAAAAAAAGAAATAAAATAAAAAATAAAACCCTTTTTTATATATTTTTTTCTACTTTTTATTGTATCCCGTCTTAAAGAAATCCTTAGGTGGGGATAATTCCACCAGCGCTGTGGCAATAGAGCTATTTTTGTGAGTATATCTTATTTTATTTTATTTATTTTATTTGTTCTTACTGAGAGCACTATTACTGTTTTGTATATTCTGTGGAACACGACAGAACTCAGCCAAACAGACGGACCTACCTCTCCAGTATACCCACAAGTGGGGAGTATACCACCAAGCACCTCTTACATAAGAGCCGGTCCAAGCTACAGCCAAGCAATCCATAGGTGGGGATTATTCCACCAGCGCTGTGATAATAGAGCAGTATTTCCTGCTCTATTTTTGTGAGTATAACTTTATTTATTTCATTTTATTTCAAATTGTTCCTACTGAGAGCACTATTTGCTGTTTCCTATACCCTGTGAGATTCGACGGAACTCAAGCCGAACGGACCTAATATCCAAGTATATCCTGAACTGGGGATTATACCACTAAGTGCCCTTCATCTCAGAGCTGGCCGTAGCTCCATTAAATGTGAGTTCAAAATCCTGATTCAACTTTTTATCCTTGGATCTATAATACTTCACTATTGGCAGTTTTCTTTGTGTTTCTTATCTCCACATAAATAGACTATTTCCAACCCGGACGGAATTATCCCCGAGGACTGTAATCATACCCGATATCAGTGAGACTGCTTTAATTTTTTTTATTCCATTTGGAAATTTTCTACTTTTTATCAATCGATTTTTATTGAAAAAAATTTGTACGGACATTATTTCTACATATATTATAATTTGAATCACAACCATCAGTTTTTAGTACTTGTATATATATTTTTTATATTTATTGATTTCTGTTGTACTATCCAATAGCGCAGCCCCCAACCCCTCTATTTATGTGTCTATCTTAAAGGGTTTCTGAGGGATTCCCTTATCCGTTATTAAGCGCAGACTCTTCCCCCTCTACTTTTTACTTTTGTAATATATTTATACACATTTATAAGTGTGGTTTTGCACAAATGCACTTGGTCACTTTGTGCTATTCAATATTGCACATGTTTTTCCCACTTATTTAATTACTCATTTTGGTCTTAAAGGCACAGCGCACTTTACTTTTTTGATTTTGTATAGTTACACGTGATTGAGCTTTTTCACTGTATATAGTGCTGCTTATTATATATTTATTATCAATCGATTCAGCGCCATAATATTACTTGTGTGTTTCTTAGTTATACTATCTTATGTAATGTATTATAAATGCATTTTTATTTTTAAAATGCATTATTCATTGTCAGGAAAAAATTTATTAATTTATCTAGAGTAATACTTAAATACAAGTTATGGCTGATTTTCAATGTTTTATTTAATGTTGTGAGAACAAAATTGCTTCACCACTCATCCTGTCCTGTATGATTGCCTTGCTTTTACTGAAGGATACATTCTTTGTTTTAATTACAAGTTCTAAAAACTACTGAACTTTCCAGTAGGGAATATTCTCTTCATAAAATGCAAATGACTGCAACACGGAATATTACTATTATTATTTTTTATTTTATTTCTCTGGGATTGAATGCTTAATTGCATATTACTTGAAGTATATGTATATATACACACACACACACATTGCTAAACACAAATACACACACCAGTCAAGCCATAAGACTTGCTTTTTTCACAGAAATCTCACTTTCACAGTGCTCTCACTACTGCAAGGGATTCTGGGTAGATGTATGCAAATGAGCTTAACAAAGAACCACTTTTTTTGCTACTGCAAGGGATTCAAAGTAATCGTATGCAAATGAGCTCAACAAAGCACAACATTTTTGTGGAATTATGAGGCAAAAATGTGGTTCTTTGATGAGCTCATTTGCATATGACTACCCAGAATCCCTTGCAGTAGTGAGAGTACTGTTAGTGAGATTTCTGTGGAAAAGGCAAGTCTTATGGCTTGATTGGTGTGTGTAATTGTGTTTAGCAATGTATTAACTATCCACTTCAGGTGAAAGGGGTTTTTATCCACACTTTTTTTCCTCACCACAATTCTGTGTGTATATAATATATTACACAAGATCCAGTGCACTCACTTATCCACTAAACAGCAACTTCAATGTCAACAGATTGTATTAGTTTTTTTAAAACACAGGGGGCTGCACTCACCTGAACATGCATGCATGGGGTGCTGCTGAGGGCCAATTTGTACAATACACAAGATCTATTATACAATATATACAAGCCCGGACTGTCCATTGGGCACACCAGGCAAATGCCCAATGGGCCGCGATGGCTATGGACCAAGGCTGGCACGGGAAGGTCACAAGACCTCCCCTGCCGGTCCATGCAGGGCCCGCGCTATCCAAGCGCCGGCCCTGCTGCATTCCATGACATGGGTGGTGGGGACATCAAAGATCTCTCTCACCGTCCCACATGCACAGACGTGCGGCTGGGGGACGGAGGGGAGGACTAGAGTTCACTCACCACTAGCACCACCAAGGATGGCAGCACTGTCCCCCCTCCCAAGCTAAAGGTAAGTAGGGAGTGGGGATATAATACCTCACACACGCACACGCACCCTCACACACAAACACACACACACATCACCTCTCTCACACACACACACACTGCACCCTTCACTCACACACAAACCCCCAACACACTGCACAATTCACACACACACACACACACACACACATACATATACACAATACTTCCAAACATATAAATATATATATATATATACACACACACTACTGTACCCTTCACACACATACTGCATCCCCTATACACACACTCTACAGCCCCTAGCCACACATGCATTACATTACACCACAAACAAAACACGACTAAAACCAACCTTATTACACAATACCACACCACAATCAGTTCACTCTACACACACGCAATCCCACAAGCAGGCTCCAAACACATGCACAATACTCTTTCCTGGCCCTTTTGTCTCCTGGTATCCCATTTATAGAGACACCGGAGACATGTTGCAAGGAAACACAGCGTAAGCATGTTATTAAATTTCAGCAGAGATCTGTGCATGGTCTGTCCTGGAAGAACCTACATGCTCACTTTGAGAGGGGGCGCGCTTGTCATTGGTGATGACAAAAAACACCCTCTCTGCCCTGCCCCCTTCTTAGTGGCCCGTTTTTTAAAAATAAATGCCTGGGCTGAAATTTTTTCCCAGTCTGGCCCTGTGTGTATGTGTGTGTGTGTGTGTGTATGTACGTATACACACACACAGGGCCGGACTGGGAAAAAATTTCAGCCCGGGCATTTTTTTTTTTAAATCACATACATCACATATACATATGTTTGTTTGTTTTTTCATTTTTATTATCTTTTTATTTATTTTTTACTGTTGTAAAGAATGCACAGCTAGTAATAACTCTGTCCCTGGCAAATCGAAACACAATCTGCATATTTATCACACACATTTTTATTCCAGAGTAATTCAGACACCGAGGCATGAATAATTGAAAACCTAAAATAAGTTAGGCAGTGTTGCTTAGTACTGCATATTTTATGATATACATTTGAAGTCCTTTTTTTTTTTATATAGAAAAGTTTTTCTTCTTTTTTAATTGAACGTCAAGTATATGAAATATCACTTCATTACCCTCAAATAATAATAAGCTCTAGGCTAAGAATTCACTGTTTTTCTTTTCTTTTTTTTCCCTCAATTATTAATGTTTTATTCTGCTTACTGGCTGACGTAGAGGTTTCAATAGATGATAAATCAAGGTGACCAGTGAACTTCAATATTATTTTCGATCTTAATTCCCCCCATTAACAATGAGAATGCATCTGTAGTTTTTTTTTATTATTACATTTTCTTGTGCATATAAAGCATTACACTTTCATGTTTATTCATAGTTAATGTTTGTTTACTTGCTTTTCTTAGTTAGATCGGTTTAAAGAGCCCCCTGCGTACGGACCTATGTGTGATATTTTATGGTCGGATCCACTGGAAGACTTTGGAAATGAGAAAAGTCAAGATCACTTCACCCACAACACTGTGCGAGGATGCTCCTATTTTTACAGGTAACCTGTGTGTTCTGTGATGAGAAATCTTGAATGGATACCTGTTTTCCTAAAATACTCTGTTATGTAAAATGAAATACAGTGAGAGAGAAATAGCACTATAGCATTGTTTTAATATTGTGAAACCTCATTGTCGGCATTCTTTCTTACTTTTTCTCTTTCTTTCTGTCTCATTCTCTCAGCTAGTCTAGCATTTTGTTTTTCCTGTGTAGTGTTTTCTTTTTTCTCTTACTGATTTATTTATTTTATTCTTTGGTGCTGTCTCTTTCTCTTTGTCTTGTTGTCTGTCTTTCTCTTGTTATTTTTATCTTGCCTGTCTCTTTCTTTTTTGTCTAATGCCTTGTCTAGCCTATGTATCTTTGTCTTGAATGTTAAATGCTCCACCTCTTTCTCTGTCTACAGTCTTTGTCTTTCTCTCTTTTTATATTTCTCTGCCTCTTTCTCTCTCCGTCTAGTGCTCTGCCTATGTAGTGCTGTGCTGTTTTTTTGTTTTTTTTTGTCTTGCCTGTTGTCTCACTTTCTGTATAGCTCTTATGTTTATGTGCTGAGTTACTTACGTCATAACTGTTGGGCAAATTCCAGGCTCATTTGGTTTCATATTTTATGACCCTGTGAGATTTAGACTTCCACGAAGTGCACTTACATTTGTAAAGTAACATGTTGTGTTCAGAATACAAGCTGGTGATGGCAGCATTCCTAATGCAATTCTGCATTGCAATTCCAATGCCAGCTTCCCAATTTACAAAGGTTAAACTGAATAAATCAATGTTATAGTGAGTGTCAACTATTTTGTCAGCAACTTTGATTTCTCAAAATTTAACATAAATAACTAAGAAAAATAATAATTAAGAGTCCGTAGTAACTGGGACCCATCTCTGCTATCAATAAAACTGATGTCCGTTTAATAAGAGTGTTCATCTCATATCCTTAGCTGGATCATGGCTGCATAATTATGGCTTGGCTTCATTCTTCAAGTTGCTTAGTTATCAGCCTTCCTCTATTTTCATTGAAGTTCCATGTACATTAAAAGGACACTCTAGTCACCAGAACAGCAAAAACTTGATGTAGATGTTAAAGTGTCTAGAGCAGGTCCCTGCAGGCCATTTAATGTAAGCATTGCATTTTTAGAGAAAAGGCAGTGTTTACATTGCTGCCTAATAACATATCTAGTGGCAGTCACTCAGACGGCCACTAGCTGTACTTCTTGGGTCAGTGCAACAGTGTTGCAGCAGTGACATTCAGCGTCTCCACGCTCTGCATGGAGACACTGAACTTCCCATAGGGATGCATTGATTTATGAGGATATGCTTATTGGTACCCATCTGCATTTTGCTGCGCATGCTCAATAGCCTCCCAATGCTTTTTTATGGATTGAATTGGATTGGCTGTGAGAGTCAAATTTGATCATCTCAGCCAAAGGGGGAGTGCCAGCCATGACAAGACTAGTATGATGCTGGAAATAAGGTTAGTAGAATCGCCTTTTTAACAGCACTTCTATAGCTATAGTGTTAGGAATGCGAGGTCTGTCCGGGAAACGTTCAGTCATTGTTAAAATAATGAGAACGGTTTGCGTGACATCAATGTAACCTCGCAGCCAAGGAGAGTGGACTGGAATGTGCATGCATGAAGAACAACTTCACTGTACTAGTCAGTGGGGGTGTTATGTGCTGCTGAGTGAACGTGTGTACTGTGTGGCTGTCACATTTAAAATGACTGAGTGAGTAGAGTAACTAATCTGCATAAAAAATATTTTGGGCTTGAACATTCCTCCGCGTAAACTATTCAGGACATTCAGAAGGCTATTGGGGACGATGCAACGAGTGCAAATAAGTGTGGCACAAACACTTTCAAGATGGTGAACAATATGTTGGAAGAATTGGCACCCTGCGACTTCTTTCTTTTCCCAAAATTAAAATCACCTTTTAAAGGGAAGAGATTCCAGGCCATCAATTAGATTCAGGTAAATAGGACAAGCCAGCTGATGGTGATTCCAGCAAATAATTTAGCAGAGTGTTTAACCCCATTTCATGTGTCCTTAAGGGGTTAAAACAGTGGAAGAGACGCTCTGAGAACTGTAGAAGGTCACAAAGTGCCTACTTTGAAGTGGACTGCAGCGTCATTGTCCTGTGTGCAATGTTTCTAGTATCTTCTTCAATCAATGTCTCTATTTTTCATATTACATGGCTGGATACTTTCTGGACGGACATCACATTACTGACATTATAGTGTTCCTTTAAGGAAATGACAGAGGGGGTTGTAGCAATTTCTTATTAGTATTGTTTTAAGGATTGATAATTATAGGCTTATATAGGCTACAAATACCCATTGCTAAATACTTTACAACAGTTGTGATTTTTGATCGCTGTCTCCACAACAGCCATTTTTAAAGAGCTTTAACAGCACTCTGTACTTAGCTCTTCTTGAAGGCCTTGCACAGTTGCCTGTCATCTTTAAAGGTGGGCACATCACTGATAGTACAGATTGACAAAGTGGGGCTGAAACAATAGAAGTTAGTACCAGTGATGAAAAGTTCCAATCCAAGTGTTCTACCCACAATAAGATACATGCTTTCCACTGTGTTTTACCTGGAGAGTAAATTATATAAAATGATCTTCTTAAGCCCAGGGCTGGACTGGAAACTAAAAGCAGCCCTGGAAAAAAATTCTATACCAGCCCAATAATGTGTCGCGCCAGCATAGTGTGCTGATAAAGAGGGTGAAAAAATAACTTGAAATTGAAAATTCTTACTCCAACGAAGGAGCGCATATAGGGCTTCAAAATAAACAAAAGAGCGCCTTTATTTTAAGTAGACGTACATTTGCATGTAATCAATGTTTCAGTACAACTACTTTGGCTTATTAAGGACATTTTAGTAATGGTACTGAAATGCTGAATGTCTGCAGTTGCACAACTAAAAAAAAAAAAATGAAGTGATCTTGTTTATTTTCTAAGTTCTATGGGTGCGCTCTTCACTTCACTGAATATGTTATTGTGCATTAGTATGCAACTAGCAACAAGGCTGGGCCAATACGTGATATATATATATATATATATATATATATATATATATTAATATTAATGACATTTATGTGTGTATTCTGCATATATAAATATATATTACTAAATGTGTAAATATTATAGGCATACTTATATGTTACTAATACAAACATCAATATACATGCATATATATATGTGTATATGTATTACTGTCAGGATCACATCACTTTACGTCTTTTACCTTTACCTCGTTTAGTGTATCTTGTCTCCAATTGTCTCCTTTTTTTCTCTTACAGCGACCCTTGTGCATCTTTTACTTCATCCCAGTCCCTGTGTTTCTTTTTACCCTTCTCCAGCCTCTGTATTTCTCTTTCCCCCAGCACCTTTTGTGTTGTTCTCAGCCCCAGCCACTTTGTCTCTTTCTCCCCTTCCAAATCTCATCTGTGTCTCTTTCTAACTCCAGACTCTGTGTGCCTCTTTCTCTTCTCCCAGTCACTCTCTCTCTTTTTCTCCAGCCCAGCGTTGCCTCCTACAAAACTTGCGTCACTTTGTTCTCCTTCCCTACTGTATGTCTCTGTCCCCCCAACTAACCTTCTGTCTCTCTTTCCCCCTCTCCTCCCTGTGTCTCTTTCCCCTCCCTCCTGTCCTCTTCCCCTCTCCTCCCTGTGTCTCTCTTCCCCCTCTCCTCCCTGTGTCCCTATTACCCCTGTGTCTCTTTGTCCCCCCTTCCCTGGTGTATCTCTATTACCCCATATGTCTTTGTGTCCCCCCTTCTCCTGTGTCTCTCTATTACCCATCTATTTGTTCCCCAAACCCCTATGCCTCTATTACCCCTCTGTCTCTTTGTCCCCCTTCCCTGGTGTCTCTCTATCACCCCTCTCTTTGTCCCCCCATCCCCTGTCTCTTTGTCCCTCCCCCCCTTACCTGGTGTCTCTCTATTACTCTCTCTTCTCCCCCCCATCCCCTGTCTCTCTATTACCTCTCAGTCTCTGAGTGTCCCCTTCCCCTGTGTTTCTATTACCCCTCTTTTTGTCCCTCTTTTTGTCCCCCTTTCCCTATTTTTCTGTGTGCCTGCTGTTACAGGAGGACTGAGAGAGGGGGCGGAGCTAACTACCATGCTCCCTCGCAGTTCCCATAATTCCCAGCTTCTACACATCATAGAGTAATCACTACTCTATGATGTGTCCATGCTGGGAATTATGGGAACCACGAGGGAGCATGGTAGTTAGCTC